GCACCAACTGGTGGGTTCTGCTGACTTTATATGCCCTCTTCCAGTCCCTAAATTTTGCTCCCACACCAGCTTGTGACCCCCAGGTTGGAATTTACAGAACTTCAATCAATTAACTCCATTCTAGCCAGTGGTTGATCCCTTTTTGCAACTGTGGCAAGTGTCCCCAATCAAGGACAATTGAGGTCTGTTGCTGCACCCACAATATTCTCAGTGGAAAAGTAAGACAATCTGCAGGTTAAGTGCAATGAACTTCAAATAAGCTCTAACTCCATTGCTTTTTCTACCACCGGAGGATGGGCACAAGGATGCAAATCCATGAGAATAATGTAATTTTAGGCCAGACTTGTAAACTAGTATTTCATGGACAGAACAGAGTCCTTTTCTTTTAATGAAAATTCAGTAGGTTGGAGAATTCATACAAGCCTCTAAGTTTCTGGATTTTCCCAAAACAACAACAAGAATAACAACAACAACAAATAAAACAGAAGAACTGGGCCACCCTGGCTCCCTAAGTCTGGGACCAAATGCTGGCTGCTAGAACCCTGTAGTGTCAGGTCTCCAGCCTCATCACTGTGTGCCTCGGCTTTCACATGTGACCCTGGTTAACTAACTAGTGTTACCTGGCTAGTGTCTATAGGCACATAAGCCTCTTAGGCCTTGTTTGAGAACTACCCTTAAGCCAATTATGATTCCTTTTAAGATGTATTTGCAGACTTGATTAATAGTAAGGAGTCACTTCCATACTCCATGATGTATGGCCACACATCCATGTAGCATGGCTAAATGGTTGACAACCACTGTCTTTTTTTTTTTTTTTTAAGATTTTGTTTATGTATTTGAGAGAGAGCACATAAAAACGGGGGAGCAGGGGAGGAGGGGAGGAGGGAGAGGGAGAAGCAGGTTACTCACTGGGGGCCTGATATGGGACTCGATCCTAGGATCCTGGAATCATGACATCAGCTGAAGGCAGACATGAGCTGAAAGCCGACGTTTAACAGACTGAGCCACTCAGGCTCCCAACAGCCACTGTCTTAAGGCAAATCTGGCCCCAGATTTTCCTCAGCACGTGCATGTGAGTCTACTCTTGGGTAACAGCTTCTCTGAACAGGTGGGAATTAGGGCTGCATATACACTGCCTGGTCTATAAATACAGTCAGTTATGGCTGGGGTCCTGGCTTTCATGTTTGATAATTATTATTTTTTTTTAAAATAATGCATCTAGCTGCCAAAACAAATAAATGAGAGCTTAACACCTGGGAAAAAATGAAGCAAACTAAATAATGAATAAATAAATAAATGAGAGCCACTTGCAGACCAATGATGTGAGTGCATGCCACCACATCTCCTGATAGGTCCCTAAGAGCTTTACGAGGAAAAATCCCCCACCTATTCAACCCAAAAGTTTTAAATCTTTAACAGGAGATATGTGTGTGTGTGTGCATGCACATGCAATTAATGGTTTTCTATTTAATTTACTATGAAGTGTGAACATGATTCTATTTTATCACTTTGCATGATGCCCGTGGGCACTAGGCCATCCAATTCTACCACTGTTGTCACTAGTCCTGAGCCCTCACTTTTCTTAGTACGTCTTATATCTTGTTTTCTTATATTTATTCACTAGATGGAGGTGGCTTGAGCCCTAGAATTTACTAGACACTAAATCTTTTATTTGGAAAGCAGACAGCTCATGAAAAGGAAAATGGTTCTCTTATTTTTCAGGTAAACCTTAATAGATTTTGAAATGGAAGTGTCAAGCTTAATTAAAAGAAAAACTCATATTATGAGTTTTGATATGCCATTTAACCTTCCAGGCTGGAGTGCGTATCCTATGGAGGTGAGGAATGTGTGGATCTCCTCATATAAACAATTTTTATACCCTTCATAACTTACATCCGTGACAATGTCAAGGTGGCATAATATACTGCCCTATATAAAACCATTGCTTTGTGAAAGTTACACTGGGTTTGATCAGAAAATGATGTTGAATTGTGTGTTGGTGAAAACATGCTTCATCATTCGATAACAGAGAAAAGCCTACTAGTAAAAACTTCTCAGTGTGCTTGCCAAATCCATTAATAGATAAATCTAATCACACATACAAAAAAGTCAAGAAATAAGCTTTACCTAACTCCAAAATCTGTCTTATGAAATGAGCCATATTTTCCTTTTTACCCAGAAATGGGTTCTGGATAAGGGCCTTTCCATTTGCTCTAATTATGTTAGGACATTATTTATCACACCTGATGTACAAGCTCAAAAATCATTATTAGTCATACCACACCAAGCTCTTTATTACCAGCAATACATGATAAAAGTTTTTAAACAATAGATGTAGGCACGGGATAGCTACTGAATCCCCCTAACTGGGGTGGGTCCAATTTAAGTACAACTTGATGGTTCACACATTTGTATAAGGGCCTTGATAAATCCAAATTGAATTTGATGACATTTACAAATATTTGCACTGTTTTATTGGATGGTTGCCTGATTCTGATGTGGTCTTTCCCCCCCTTCTCTCTTCTTCTAGGTCTTTCCAAGGGAGGCTATTGCATGAAGTGATCACTAGGAAATGAACTGACAGACCTGGGCCTCTAGACTAACTCTTTCATTGACTTACAGTCTCTGGTTACAGAACAGGAGAAGCTGTGAGCCCCACATATCGTAAATTGTGAGAAGGGTCTGTATGCATGAGTCCATAGAAAAGAGAATATTCGTTTTTCTTCCCATTGGATTTTCATTTAGGACCAACGCTTTTTTTTAAAAGGGTATTCCAGGAAACATTCATCTCCTAATAAAAGCCACATGATCAGGGAACTTGGGGGCAATAATAATGCTTGTAGAATTTTTAATGACAAACATCTCATATGTTAATAAGTTAACCTTATTTAAGAATGTTAGGAGATTTTATACAAAAATCCAGATTTCTGGTTCTATTGGAAAAAACTGAAGATGTGACAAGGCAGCGAGTATGTCCTCATACAGAAATAATTTCTTGCAGTTTCTCATTAGTCAAGGATGTACTGTCCATTTGTCAAGTAACCACCTTACATGTCTGGATTCTGGAAGTTCTTTACTTGGCAACCCATGTTTTAGTCTTTCTTGCAGACATACATCACTTCTGGTGTATTAAAGGCTCTGAAAATTTCCTCAGTAAATATTTCTGTTTTATTTTATTTAAAAACTTTCTCCCAATGTATTTGATTATGGAGGTTTTTTCCTCCCCATTTTGGGAAGTACTATTCCAGATAATTCTTTGCATTCATGATTTCAGGTTTTACTCTGAAGTTTACAGGCGAAAGTCAGTTGCTAATGTATTACTTGGTACATGAATATGGACCATAAATTGAAGGGATTCTGATTTGGTTGTATGAATTTTATGCTATCTTCTGGCAAATATTTGTGAAAGTATTTGGAAAGGCTAGATTTTGCAATTAGGATTCCATTTACATTTCTGGATGCTTTTTATAGGCATTTGAGATACAGATTCAATCTATCTGATTAGAGTATTTACATATTCAATCAGACTTCACGCTATATTGGTAGACATGAAGGAACCTCTGGATTTTACCTGAGGTTTAACTTTAAAAATCCACACTAGGGGACCACTTGTGCTGGTGATATAATAAGAGGCCCTAACAACATGTATTCTAGAGAGAAGGCTTTGGAGAAAAAACAGATATACTTGAAATATGCTAGGTTAAGTAACAGGAATGTATAGTATTATTATGCTATCCCAGGTAGATAATAGATATTTCTTTTCTACAATCATCATCTGAGTAACTTTTAAAAAGAGAAGATGGACAGAAGTTTCTTTTTGGAGAAGTGAGCCCCATATGTCTCATCCAAGTGACCAGTACAGAAACCCAATAATGGGATTTGACATTTCATCTTGTGGGTTAAGAACACAGCAGTTATAGTAATGAATTTCTGATTTTCAAAATACTGGGATTAGAAATACTGGCCGGGATGGCAGCAAAGACCTCATGGAAAAAAATCCCGGCTGACTACAAGTCTCTAAGCAGGCTGTTCTCTGGATTTGGCTAAAGCTGACTCAGGGCAAATACATGGCAAATAAAGACAACAAGTAGGTGTAGAAAGAAGTTATCTACCACTTTAATAGGGCTGGCCAGCATTTGGTCACAGAGATCATTCTGAAACCTAATTCCTTTAATGGTCTTCCTGAATCTTCAGATTCAGAAGAGACCTGAATACTCGTGGAAAAAGCAAATCAAACATAGAAAGAGGTACCATGATAAAACTTGTGGCTACAGCACTATGTACTTAATGATGCCAGGCTTTGGATTTAATCGGAGGATATTTCTGCAGTCTAGCACAGCTATACCAAGCCTTAAGACGTTGTATTTACAGAACTTATTAACACAGGGATCCGTCTTCTACCATGATTTTGCCAGAGTCTTAATAGCATGGTGGAGTAGCTCCCTCAAGAATCCTCATTGTCTTATCTGTGGAAAAGCTAGTAGTTCTAAAAATACTTTCCTGGAAGAGGTTAGAATGGTTATTATATATCAGTTGAATATAAAGTATGGTTATGTAAGCCAGGCTTGCATGCTAATATTGCACGGGTAGAAAGCAATAAAACAGACGATGTGCTTCCTTGGGCCATCTGGTAGAAACAGAAGGAAGCTCTCGATTCAGTATTGTTAGGATGCCTCAGATTCCAGAAGTCCACCTGTAGCTAGCCTTCCAGTGTGAGTGCCATGTTGAAGTTTCAAAAGGGGCACGTGTCTTCTTCCTTGCCAGTAAAAAAAGAAACTGCGACAAAACAAAACAAAACATCCAAACTCAAAGAGGTACACCAGCCACCTCAAACTGTGGCATTGTTCATTTCTTGAAGAGAATATATAATATTTCAAAATATTATATATATACATATATTTAAAATGGTACAAAGTAATTGTAGATCCAAATTAGAAGATAGTTGATCGTTCTTCGTAATCCCAAAAATTTTCATTGAGAAAACCGTTTTTTTTTTTTTTAAACCCACTTTCCATGGTGCTGCCAAAAGCGTGGGGTCTTCTCACTATAGGATACTTTGTGACACACAGTGAAAGCACTGTGATTATCTGGTAACCAGTCAAAGTGCAAATAAGAAATCCATTTGGCTTGTAATGTGTAAGATGTTTTAAATTCTTAAAATATATTTTCCGCAGAGGTGGTTTTCCTTTGCTACTATGACAAATGCTTCCATTAGGTTCTTGGGTGAATCTGAAACCAAAGAAAGAAAGAAATTTCAGGGAGAAAAGAACAAAATGAAGGCATAGAGAAAGGTGAATAGGCAGAAAATGAGGACATCTTGAATTTATAGTATGTTGCTTCTTTCAAGTATTCTGAAGCCAAAAATGTTAATCTAGAGCCGTAGTTCTCAAATGGTGATCAAAAAGCACACTGACAGGCCATTGTATTTTTTATCAATTCATTACTTTTATTTTGCCACAGCTGAGGAGATAGACTCTGGGAGCAATGAATAACCATGACTGGCTTCATGGACACATGACCCTATACAGTTGCACAGAGCCCTGTGCTGAACAGTGGCCCACACTTCATTTAATGACCTGCTATTGCAGTCTTGAAATTATTACTAATTTTTGAACAAGAGGCCTGTGTTTTTATTCTTGCACTGGGCCCTTCAGAGTATGTAGTTGGTCCAGTGTCTGTTTGATGAGAATTTGAACTGAGTAGGTCATTCCACGGCCTCGTCAAGTTGGCCTGCTGTAACATGTAAAGGGGTGGCATCAGGTAAAGAAGTCACTGCCAAGATTAGAACACATTTTCTTAGGAACATAGGAGACCCTTGCAGGATGAGGAACTCTTCCTCCCAGTGACATAGTACTCAAGGGCAACCAAGAGCATACTCCCACCACTACTGGTACAATTTAATATATTTGAATATGGTCCCAACGACTCTAATGTTCAAAAGGATGCATGCATGGAAAGTCACTGGTTTGGGGCAGAAATGATGATTCTAAGAGAGTTGAAGATTCTACTTTAGAGTTCTAGGACATAGGCATTTTTCTTCATCATCTCTTAGTTCTTTATAGTCTTAGGAATTGAGTGTTCTGAGTCCAGGCGTGGAGTCCATGAAAAGGTTTCAGAGTTGGGTGGGAACAGTAATTAAAGTTTGCTTTCAAAAGCTGGTTGCACCCAGGGCAGCATGTATGAGAAATCTTCACACATTTATTTTTTTTTATCCTCTCCATATGAATAACAGATTCTTCCAAACTTTGGTTTTCTACATTCTAGTAGTGTTTATCACCTTCTGTGTCCACTGTCTTCGTCTTCATCAAAAGGAGGGAGAAAGTGACATTTACGACACTGAATTGGAATTGCCTTCTTATCGACTGGCCATTCTCACCCCCACGGCACCCACCCAACCTTAGGCCCTACCCTTCACGGAAGAACAGGAGATGGGTCGTATCTACCATCACATCCCTAAAACCTTAATACACTCACTTTAGATAGAAGAGGCTTAAATATATTTGTTGGTTAAAGAAATGAATGAGTTCACTCTAACCCAGGGGCAATTGTAACAGCATAAATTGATTTATTTTTCCTTCTTGCCATTTCCAAATCCACCTCCCCCTGCACCGCCCCACCTTCCTACCCTTCTCTCTTGAAGGTAGTTCATGCAAAATGGTCTGGACATCAGGATTGTAAAGGCTTTCATAACACTTCCGACCAGGTGGAAATTTCAAGTGAATTTTGAATGATAAAGCTGGGATATGTCAAAGCTGGTACTTTACACTTCTCTAATATAAAAAGTTTTGGCTGAGGAGAATGGATGGAGATATGCAGGGTCAGAGTCACTATTAGGAGGATGCTCCCAGGAAGGTGTGGACAAATGACTGTCATGGATTTGTGTAAAACATCAATTTGGCAAGATAGCCATTGTGTTTAGGTGTGCAGTCTGAGGTCTGCTAACTCACCCTTTTAGGGAAGGGAACTTGACTCTACCTTGTGGACACCTAACTGTTGATTTTCTCATTAGTCTGAAAGATACTAACGAAGTTGCCTGATATGTTCCCAGATATTATACCAGATTATGTTCTACTATTTTAACCTGCTGATTTTTCCTTCGAAGCGCCTTTAGTTTTCTCCTCATTTTATTCCCTTCCTTATTGTATCCCCAAACAACGAATGTTCACTTTTTACATGTGAATTTTTATAGCATTGTCAAACAACTTATTTTCTCCAGGGAGAAGTCTTTCTAAATTAAGGCATCATTCCTGAATACACAGAGTATACATTTATTGCTGAATGCATTGGATACAGCATCCCCAACTTTCTTTTTTTTAAAATACATATACCATATTATACCTTATTATTTTGTATATATTAAATATAATATTTATTATAGGGAATTAGCTCAACTGATTTTGGAGATGGGCAAATCCAGAATCTACAGAGCCAATTTTCCAATAGCGTCATCAACTTTCAAACTTATGTTTTTGATATATATGTTTAAAGAAAAGAAACCAATAGGTTTCCAAAACCGTAAGAGAGGATCTCTTGTCAATATCAGGATTGGTGTGTCTTGCCACAGACTAACAACAAAGCAATTTAATGAAACAATTGAAGCAATGGTTAAGAGGGAATAGGGTTAAAATTTAGCCTTGAGACTTCACTCAGATGTACCAGACTTCTCCCCAGGAGGGTTTCTGTGACCAGCTTTATTGTACCCCTTGCTAGGTTTTGGAAAACTTCTCAAGGGTATCTATTTTCTCTCTGTAAAATGACATTCAGGAAGTTTCCTCTTTTCCTTAGGTTTATTCTCTCCAATCTCCTGAAAGGGAAGCCTGTACCTGATTCTACTTATCTTTTCTCCTTCCTTCTGTAGGTTATATTATCCCCTAGATCTAATTTTCTCAAGACTTTCCTTCAGATAGTGGCCCGTTACCCTGGCTAGTTCCCATTCCGCTGTGTCTGGTCCTTTAAATGAAACATGATAAAAAAAATAAAAAGAAATAAAAAGAAAAAGAAAAAACAAAAAAATAAATGAAACAATGAATTTCTACTCTCCATCCTCCTTAAAAAAATGAGCATCATGAAAGTCTGAATTAGATCACAGTTTGAAATATTTTTGTTTATCTACATTTCACAGACTGCTGAGGATTTTGACTTGGGATGATTTTTTGGGAAGTCATAATAGCAAGGTTTTGAAAAAAACCTATATAAGGAAAAATGACAACTCGGACTCTATCTTGCAAATTTCTTCATATTGGAGTTACTTTTAAAAATTAACAGTATGAAGGAAACTCTCAGTTGCTATTAACAAGCTGGGCATGTTTCTTCTTTTTTGCTTTTATGTTTTCTTTCTTTCTTTTTTTTTTCCCTGAGAGCACTCTCTTTGAATCAGTCTTACACATAAGAACCGAAGAGGTGATTTTCTTTATTTTTCTTCTTACTTTAAGAATTTGATTTTTTTTATCTTAAAGATTACTTCTTAGATAAGAACAGAACAATGAAAACCTATGACTCATAATTAAAGTATATCTGTCTATTAAACTGTTTTTAAAAGTTAAACTGCCAGAGGCAATATTTGAAATATGTAGGCGTATTTATATTCTGACAGGGAAAATCACATAGGGCATACCAGAAAAATTAATATAAAACCTATTTTGGAGCACATCATCTAAGGACTGGTGTTGGCATGCTGTTTATACAGAAGGGAAAGCGCCTGTACGTATCAGCTGGACTTAATTGTGTCTTTGTGTTTAAAAGCATGTATTTCACTGTGAATTTCTTTGTAAGGAAGTGGGGGAGAAAATTAAGTCAGTAGTAGTGTCTGAGTCCTCTCAAGGTGTAAAAAAGTACAGCTTTTCCTCCTGTTTCCTTTTTCCTTCTCTAAAGACAGTGTGGAGATTTATTAGTTGAGTGATGTGTTGCTCACATGACTATAGAGCAATCTCTTGTTTCCTTGATTGAAATGGACACACACATTAGAGCAGCTACATCCTCTGCTTTCAAACCAACTGCATGGGCGATTTATTTCTCTTGTACACTCAACTGTCTTGGTTGCATTCAGCCCACCCAGGATGGTAGCAAACAGTGCTCTCCAGACTCTATTACTGTGATCAGACCTGCACTGTACTTCTGGGAGAACAGAAAATGTCTGGGAGGTATTTACAATATGTTTTAAAATACACTCTACAGAGGCCAAATCAAAGAAAGTTACACCATCATAAAAAGTAGCATTAACATTTCTGTGTTTTATTTATATTCTGTCTTCCAAAGAGTCTCCTAGTTGGTACCCTTGGAATTTCACATACTTAAATCCTGAAATAATTTGACTTGTATTATTGTTCTTTACTGAGTTTCAGGTCTGGAGGAACCATGAGAGCGGGCTTATGTTCAATAAAGGGAGATCAGTTATCCTTTGGAAGAGGATATGGAGATTTGGCAGAATAAAATATATTAGCAACCTGCTTGAAATAATGGTGATCAAATTCCAATCATATTGGCCGTGATTCAGAGTAGCTGAAAACCAACTTGTGAGGACATCTTCAGACTGTTTGGTGGTATTAGTTTCAGGCAAAATGTAACCAAAGGGAAACCTGAAATCCACTCTCCATCAGTTAATGAAGATGGTTTCTGGAGGTAAATGTCATGAACTGGGTTCATTTTCGAATAATCTCTCCTGAGGGTGTTTCTTTGAACTGAAATATGATAATCCATGCTGAGCATCCCAGGTGCATGAAAATACATTTTTTTAAAGATTTTATTTATTTATTTATTTGAGAGAGAGAGAATGAGAGAGAGAGAGCATGAGAGGGGGAAGGGTCAGAGGGAGAAGCAGACTCCCTGCTGAGCAGGGAGCCCGATGCGGGACTCGATCCCGAGACTCCAGGATCATGACCTGAGCCGAAGGCAGTCGCTTAACCAACTGAGCCACCCAGGCGCCCCTGAAAATACATGTTAACAGGCTAAGATGTTCAGGAACCTCTCCTGGCCACGAGCCAAGGAGGTATAGCCATTTACTGCTTATTGTAGTCAATACGGGCAACTAAATTTGATATGCAAAGAGTCTCTACTTATTTTATATATAAAATATGTTTTATAAGGTATTATGTTTTCTGAATCACAAGGGTGCAAGGATCAGTTTTATTTCTTGAAAAGATAATGCTGAGAAGAAAGATCAAGTTAAAACTCATTATACAGGGGTGGGAATCACAGATGCCCTTTTAAATTTGAATCACCCTTTTGGAAGGCTACAAGTTCAACATGTTGGAATTTTTAACTAGTAGAGCTTGCTTTCAACAATACCCAATGCATTAAAATACATATACCTGTAACGGGGCTCTCGGTCACATGCTATAGATATGTGTAACCCTACTGGTTGTAAAAATATTAACATAGTTCTGTAGTACATTTGAATAAATACTGTCTTAAGTGCTCCGAGTGCAACCCCCTCCATCTTCCCCCCTTTGGGACTCCCACACTTTCCTATGATCTAGTATCTATAGGGTCAATGTCTGGCCTAGCGGAGCCTTTCCAATCTGCCACCGCAACACCAATTCTGATGAGTTGGATGGCCTCACTATGCAGGTTGTTATATATTTTGAAGATAACTCCTTATTTTACCACAGAAACCAAGGAATGAAAATTCACATCACACAAACCTTTCACTTCCTTAAAAGATCATCAAATAATTCTTTGAAAGACCTATAGGAAATGGCTGTACTTAAATGCAGTCCTTTTCAGCAAACCGTCTGGATGAATTAGGCCAGACCCTTATTTTATAATCTCTTTTGAGCACCACAGTTATTGGCTGAATTATTTGCATAATTACTGTTCCTCTTCCTTTGGCTATGGCAACCCAGCCGTATTTATGAGCCAGTCATAGAAACACTGAACTGCTCAGTATGGAAAAACCAAGTTCAATCTCTAACTTGAGATTAATCAATATGAATGGTTAAGAATGTTTTCTGTCAGGGAAAAGGCTTTCTTGTCTCCTGTTCGAAGCTTCTCTGGGGGCTGATTATAGAACACAAAGGTAAACAGTATGGTTGGTAACATGCATGAGACATTTGAAAGAAATAAACTTACTCTTGTCGTCTTAATTTTATTGCCTGTAGCGCACATCCATCCGGAATTATCAGGTAGTGTCTTACATTCTTCTCCCTCGAGACAAGGCTCCATCTCACACCACCATTTCCCAATCACTATGGAAGCTGCACAAAAACAAGAAACAAGGGTGTTTGCATTCATCCAAACAACTTGGGCATGGGTGCTGTGACCCTCTGGAAGTGTCAATTCTCTTTGAAGCACAGTAGTTTCTCTTTAAGCTTCTATGACTAGCTAAGAATTCTCTCTGAAGAAGAGTAATATTTTCATGTATCAGTCGTACATCACAAATATAATTTTATGCTGCCTGGTTTGATCAAGCAACATTTTGTCAAAAATCTCCTCAGACAATAAAAGATGAAAACATATGGATTGGGGAGATATACTTTTTGGAGGAAATTTTATGTTAGTTTTCACAAACCAAGGACCTGTACTTTTTATTTGCAGGGAAGGGGACAAAAGTATTAACTGCTCTTCAGAATGACAGAGCTATTCCTTCAGAAAGGCCAGTTTATCCACCCAGCATTAGGGTTTATCCCCCAGCCTAATGTCTTCGAGAAAAAACAAAATGACTGAAAACATGAAAGAAAACCTGCAAAATAAAAACTAAGTAATAATTAATAAAAGTATTTGTTTACAATCAAAGTTAAATTTGATGTGAGCTGGGTTTCCTTTTGATGTTTGATATGATGTGGCTGAAACTTTAGAAAGTTAAGCTTCTGATAAGAAAAGCCTTACTTTTCAGGGTAATAGCAAAGATGGCCACAACACGAAGCTGGCAACGAATTTACTGGATCTATTTATAGCACACACTTGTTTTTGTTTTTGTTTTTACCAAAGAAAAGGTGTACAACTTTTATAGTATTTTAAGTGCATGGGAGTTCACAAAAAAGTGGCTAGACTTTTCCATTTTATTTTTTCTTTTGCTAATAAGATTTTATAAAATAGTGACTGGATGCACTCCACACAAATCAAGAAGCTCCACATCTTCCCTAATACCTTCATGAATGAAGAATTATTTCTGCCATCCCAAATACTCAAAATGTCTGCCAGTGTCTCTTTCCGGCACTTTCTGATTAGCTGTTTTCATACTGAACGGGAACCCTAGTTCTGTAGATACTCAGCCCTTAGCCCCTTACCCCCCAAGAAGAGTCCCCACCATGATGCTTCCTCCTCACAAAGACAAAGAGGTCAGATGACATCTGTTAACATCACAGAGGATTCATATTGAAACAGAATGGAGTGATACTCCCCCCTTGGCAAAGTGAAGCAGGAGCACGTTAAAATTCCCCACCCATCCGGCATTAGGCATTCTGTAGAGGGATTACATTGCTAACTTACAAGCAGAATGGTTTAAACATCTGGCCATCTGCTTACATTCAAGTTATCCTCTTTCTACACTACCCTTAGTTTGGACTTCCCCTCCTTTGGAATCCAGTGTATGGATTGCAAAGTTTTGATATTATATGCAAAATTATGTCTACTCTATTATCCAGTCAATTTAAGGAATTTTCCAAGGGTAATTTTGCCTCTGTTTGATTCATACCTTATGTGTGGACCAGGCTGAATGACATAAAGCGAATCTCCATTGGAATACAGCATGCAAGTATAGCAAGTAAAATCTTGTAAATAGTCTATCCGTATGCAAAACAATGTGATATTTTGGTAAAACACGGAGTAGTAACAGAAGACACAAATCCTCCACACAGTACAAAATGATTATGAGAGCTAAGAGTGTTTTTCTTTTCATTTCTTTTTTAAGATTTATGTATTTGAGAGAGTGGGGGTGCGGGGAGAGGGGGAGAGAGAGAGCACTGGTGTGCAAGTACAAGTGGGAGAGGGGCAGAGGGAAAGAATCTCAAGCAGACTCCCGTTGAGCCCCGAGCCTGATGTGGGGCTCGATCTCACAATTCATGAGACCGTGACCTGAGCAGAAACCAAGAGTCAGACACTTAACTGACTGAGCCACCCAGGTGCCCCAGGAGTGTTTTTCTTTCCAATAGCAGGACTCTGTTCATGAGGATGTGGAATAGGGCCACATTCTAGTCATAGGTAAGAGAACTTAATCATGTGAATTAATAGGTGACAATAGTAAATAAGAGATGCATGTATTTTGGCAGCAAGAAAAACACTTGTAGTGTTGAAAGGGGACAAAAATAAATTGTCAGGTTTCCGGTAACATAAGATAAAAGTCAGGGTTTGGCAGTGTTTATCGAGAGCCCACAATCTGAAGCTTCCTTTCGGCCAGCACTCAGTCAGCAACAGGCTGGTGACATTTGCCACACTTGTACCCTGAAATCCCACCTACTATCTCACGATAGCTGCCCTGAATCGACACCAAGAATGGAAACCCTCTGATCTTAGCTCTGACGGGAAACTGCCTTTCCTGACAGTCTCCCATTTAGCAGTTGTGACTTTTTTTTCTTTCCTACAGAGGCACACAAATAATGAACAACTGGCAGGAAGGTCAGCTTTAGCATCTTTACTTCCTTGGGAAGGAACTGCACCCTCTTCTTTAGGCTGCTCTCTGTCTGCCCTCTCCGGGCTGACCTACTTTGTTGCAAGCTAACAAAACAGTTTCTCTTTCTCTTAAGCGTTAATATCTTCTCAATGACAATGTAGACAATAGGAAAAAGAAGGCATCTCAAAACCCACAGATCACCTTTAATTCCAGGTGGTAAAGGTGCACTGGCTTACAGGGAAAAATGAAAGGCTTTCTAAGAATTAAAACATCCCCAGACCTGCCTATAATCTCTAAAAATTCATATTATACTTGCTTCTCCTAAGTAGAATTTGATGCTTTTACATTACCCTCTGGTTTATTAGAATCTAGTTCATTATTCCGGTGTTGCTTTTCTAAAATTGCTATTAGGCTAATTTTGCTTCCGATTTATGCATTACACGGTCATTTTAATGTATATCACTTCATGTCCTAGGTCAAACTATAGTCTTTTTTCCTAGTTTTTTTATATACTCATATTTCCTGCAATAACTTTAAGAAAATTCAGAGAGGATTTATAAATTGCTCCCTCTTCTCCCATACTGGAAGCTACTTAAAACCTTCAGATTATTGAAAAAGGAATGATTGATTAGATTTAATACAGTGAGCTAATATGAATGTTACTTAACCGTTTTTATAATTCTTCTTATGAAGATATTTGTAATAAGAAAAATGTAAACACAAATAATTGTAAATATCTTGAATTATAATGGTCAGTGCAGTAATAAAAATGACAACTGACATTTTTGATGGCCTCTTCTGTGTTAGGTATTTTAAATATATTATATTTAATATATATAAATATATTTTAAATATATTATCTTAATCTTCATAGCAATCCTAAAGGTGAGGATTATTTTGAATTTATTGTATGGATGAAAAAACTGAAGGCCAGAAGGGTTAAATAACTTTGCCAAGCTTACACTAAAATGCAGGCCTGCCTAATGCTAAAATCTATGGTTTGCATCATAATAGGGCAAACTCATTCAAGTTTTGTGTTCAGGATTCACAGAACTCATAAAAAGCATTTACTGACTGCTGAGTGAATGAATGAATTCTCTCTGGCGTATGATTATTGAAAATAAATTTCAAATACACACAAAACACTTGAGGCAAACACAAAAACATTTAGTTTCTTATAAAATTAAGTTAATGTAAAAAAGTCTTTTGGCTAAGAGCCAGTTTATATCACACTTGTTTCTTCCTAGACTGAGCTACATATTGCTCAATTTTACTACTTACAGCGTTTTGGTAGAAAGTCCCAGTAGTGAACAGTTTTTGAAGCCACAAGAAATTTGTGAAGTAGATGACTAACTTCTATGAGGACTTTTTATCCCCTAGAAGAACTGAGTTAATTAAATAACAGCTCCAACCCTCTCTTATCTGTGGTGATTATGAAAGAGGCTCCTTTTTAACCCTGGGGTTCTGGAATTTGCTTTCTGAATGTGTCATATTCAGGAAAATATCTGAGCTTCAACTTTTTCAAGACTGTTCATCTTTCCTTGAGAAATTCTTAAAATCACTAAAGCTACTTTAATCATGAGTTTTGATTTCACCTTTATACCAGGTCATGTTGCTACAGAGCAAAGAGAGACTGTCAAAGGAGAATCAATCCATCTTTCAGTGATAAATCTTAAATAGACCAGAAATCCTTTTGTTGTTGTTGTTAGTATTGTTTACTTTGAGCCATTTTCCCATGTAAAGAGAACAAGGTACTGATAAGCAATGGACCTAACAAATACAGCAAATATGCATTATCTTGTTGAGGAAGTACAGTCCCTGTTCATCATTTCAATAGACAATATTTGGGTCTCAACTCAGTAAAAGTTCTTTGCACACTTTCTGTAGTCAAAGGACTACCTGATTTAGTGAGATGGATAAAATAATGAACATGACATAGTTTCTGCCCTGAGAGCTTACAGTTTAGCTCAGAGTTTCTCAACATGGGCACAATTGGCATTTTGGCATGAATTACTGTAAGGGGGTATAAATGAGCGAAGTGCTTGCTTGGCAGTAAGTACGTTATTGTGTTAGAAGAGTAGGCTCACACTGGGGAGTGGGAAGAGAAAGAAAATCTTAATAAGATTGTAGAAGTTCTTGAAAGCATGAGGTTCAGGCTTTTTTTTTTCCCCCTGAAAGAAATGGTAAGTCACTGAATATTCTAGATTCTGTGTGCAAATGGAAGACACGATTAACAGGGTGGTTGGGAAAGATGGATTTGGCAGTGATGTACAAGATGGAAGAAGGAAGAAGCAAGCAGCTGAAATGCTACATAAACATGGCAGCTTTCACCCAGAAGGGATAGGTATTGATTGTGGTTGCCTACTACAGAATTGTGAAGAAGGGCAGGGTGAAAGCCATGTCAGGAACACCTGAGGAAACTATATGGCCAATAACTCAACTACATCAACTGTAACCCCCACTACATTGGTCTAGAATTACTAGCTCATGTACCTGCCTATTCACCAGGCAATGTGCTTCTGGAGTCCAGGGATCCTACTGCATTCATCTCTGAGTGGCACGGAGTAACTCAAAACAGGTTTAGAATATAAATGAGTGAATAAAAAAAAAGAAACAGAGAAAAAGAAAAAAAAATAGTGCTTATAT